AGTTGCCGTCCTCGTCATTAAGTACCCATCCAATGTCGGAAAAACGTAAGCGCATTGTGGCAACTGTGTAAGGGGCTTGTATTACGAAAGTCATCTTAAATGGCCTGATAACCCCCTTTTTATAACGCCGAGGGTTAGATTTACGAAACTCAACTTAAATGGCCTTGTACCCACCGGCGTTATAAGAAGGGGGCAATCAGGCCGTAATGCGCTTACGCTTTCCGACAAAGGACACGTGTCCAGAGTGCATTACTCTTACTCGGGTCATCAACAGAAGCGGATGATAGACAGGGAAGTGGCGGTAAGCTATCGGGCGATCGATTCCGTAGCCTATTCGGTTCCCCGCTCGAGCAGAGCGCGGAAGGGCCCGGTCGTGAAGATGTACTGTTTTGTGCCACGCAAACAAGAGCTCGCGTTGGTGTATTGAGGAGAAGATACAAATTTCCGTTTTTATACTGCGAGATGTTATTGCTGTTTGAGAATAGTTGGCGCTCGTGCCATAGCGTCATTTTGCCCAAAATCTTCGGTGGCTCAAGCGCTCGTGACTCAACAGCCACTGGTTCAACTTGCAAGATTTTTGTACTGTTCGAATCGCCTCGTCGGGCGCTATCCTGTCCCGCCCAATTCCCCCCAAGTTCGACCAGTGGAAAATGTGTTTTAAAACACGTCAGCTAATTTGTAACGTTGAAGCCCACATGTTCAATGTCGCAGTCGAGATTTTTGGTCGTACTGTATATGAAGGAAAGATTGAGGCTGCAACACAATCAAATCAGAATTGGATTTAAACCGTCGTTACAATAGCACTGGGTAAAAGAACTGGTGCAGTTTCAACAAAAATGTGGCATTTCATACCTGAACACGGACACGTAGTCCCCGAATGTTGGCGCCAATACATGGCGAATCGCTAGACGACTATCCACGGGGCGCGCGACAGGTGTTTGAGGTCCCGATAGCACAGCATTTGGTGTCGCCCAGCCCGATGATGTCCGACCAAATCCGTGCTTCTGGAGTCTTTGCGGTCATGGCCGAGTAAGAGTAATGCACCCTCCCCTCAAAGGACAGCAAAGGACCACGGCATCCGCTTACACCTCACACCGGTGATTGCCAATTTTTGGCACACGGGATGTTCTATTAGAAAGTTGAGGTATCACATTTAATTTCAGCCAGACAGAAGCCGGATTTGATTCCGCGAGTTTCACTTACACAATTGGCTGAGGCCCGAGTACTATTCTGATATTCCAACTTTCAAATAGAGCATCCGGCGTCCCGAAACTTGGCGGACATGACCATGTGTGCTAAAACAAAGCAATGAAAAAGTGGGAATAAAGAACAAGTACTCATCAATAAGCTTCCCAAATTTCGGGATATCGGACGTTCTATCTGAAACCTGGAATATCGTAATAAATTTCAGGGATGGGCTGATCCTGGAACTGAAAATCAGGGACACGGCTTCGGTGTTGGGTGAGCTGAATATTGTGCTTATATATGCCTGTCAGTTTCTGCAGCTTGCGCCAATCAATGTCTACTATCCCCAAACGACGTTCTCCGTCCTCAGGAGCGGTCATGGTGAACACTGGGAATGAACGCCAGTTACATTATGTTCTGTTGACTCAACTGCAAACAGTCCAACATCAAATATGCGCTCTGCGTTATGCTAAAGTCTGAGGCGGGCTATGCAAACTCATTTGAGCTGACCGATTCCTGTCTTCCAGGTAGCCAGGTAGGTCAGACAACTCCAACTTGGCACTCGGTGAGAAACAGTTCACTATCATAGAGATGAGACCTAAACAAAGTGGGATCACGTTACAAAAGCTGTCTACAATTACCTGAGCCAATTACTGTGCTCCACGTTTTCCCGAATACTGATATGGACCTTCATGCATTCTGTACAAGATTGCCAATCGTCAAACAGCTATAGGCCTGCCACAAACGCAAGTGTAGTCACTTGCAAAACCAAGTGTCCTCCTATTATGAGGCATCAACAAACTCTACTTGGACTACGTGACACTATGTAGACAGTAGCGTCATTTGAGCGTAATAGTACCGCATAGTGCCGGATAATGCAGCTCCCTTGTTACGTAGCGCTACACAGTGCTATATAGAACTATGAAGCTACCAGGAAAATCAGGGTTTGATGATCGGCGCCTTTATATAGATGGCCCTGAGATCCACAGTGTTGGTTCAAGAATTCATAACAGGGTGGCGAAACGGTCGTCGAGGACGGGGAATTTGTAACGGATGGACCTTCGGCATTTGGGCAAATCCCAGCTTCAGTAATCTCGGTGTTGAGTGAATTAAGACGGCAGCGTGAATGGCTACATTGCGTGATCTCGGTGTTGAGTGCATTGTTCTCAGAGTCGTGATAGCACTCCGACTTCGGAAACGGCCGAAGCGGCTAAAAGAGACGGCAGCATGAATGGCAGCATTGCGCGAGGCTTGGCGGCCGGGATCGACCCCAGAACAGGCTAAACGCAGAGCGCGTTACACGGTTTTCCTGGAAGGAGTGGTACTAGACTCAGAGAGGAAAAAAGCAACGAACGTCTATGACTCAGGCACGAATTGAACGAACGACTTCCACTTGAGAATTTGACCCAGACGTATGTGAACTTTGAAGTTGATGAGATACCTTTCGCCACTGAGTCAGTCTACATCTGGGACCTAGGCAGAATAAATGCGCTCCCGCATTAAATCAGAGTCTCATTTGAAATGCTCAACCAATGCCAGCGACTTCCATTTGCGATTTTTAAAATGTGGATGAAGTCTGTACGTCCACTTGTTCCGAATGTGCAATGGATGCGCTACATTTCGCCGTGGAGTCTGTATGCCTGTCACATCCAGACTGAACCGATCCCTCGATAGATTCACCAATAGAGAGTCGCTCATCTTCCCATTTCCCAGTAGAGATTCAAGTGCAGCATCTGAGCAGGTTGGCAAGGCTGTTGGAGTAAGGGCCAGTTCGTCTAGTCTCTCTTGCCAAACGGTCTATATCAGTTCCACCTAGTACCTTGTTTGATATAGACAGTTAGTCCTCTGTTTCTTGACAAAGAGAAAAAAATGAACCTGACCGCGATGGATGACTCGAGCCCAAATCGAACAGGCATCTTCCTTCCAAACGCTCCGAATTAAACAAATCAATCAAAAACAACAGCCAACTTCCACTCGCATGATGTTCCCAGGATAAATGTGGTGGACAAGATACCTCCCGCCACCGAGCCGTTGTCTAACTTGGATTCAGCGTTAGTAAATCGCATGAGAAATACACGGGTTCTAGACTTTTAATTCGCTCAGACTCACCAACTAGCTCAAATAAAATTCGCATATGGATTGTACACGAACCTTTCGCCACCGGTCGGCATACACCCGAGATCTAGAGTAAACGAACAGCAGAATGGATTGACCGGGTCCAATATCGAACTCGTTCACCCAAATGCGTATGAACCTAAAGAAAATGGAGAAACCCGTTGGTAGATTTCCTTTCCCTGCGGTACCGAAAGAAAGGAAAAGAAGGAAGAAAACACTTTCCGTGGTTGTTCTACTCTATAAGTATGACCCAGGACTCGGGCCCGGTTCGTACAGACGACGTCCACTCACAAGTCCTCTATTAGGCCATGTAGAGTGGCTGCGATACTTTTTGCCACCAAGTCGGTGCACATCTTCTCTTCCGTCTGATCTATATACAAGCCACAGAAATTTAGCCCACTCCTACAACCATCATAATATACCACCGCCGAATGTATCCTAGCTTGAAAACGTGACCCAATAAGTAGCTTGGCTCCTACCTCCGGGATTTTCCCGCCGGAACGACTCTGCATGGGTGTGAAAAGACCAGTGAAACAGATGTGAGGAGTGGGGGTCGAAGGCCAAAGGAAAAAAAAAAAAAAAAAAAAACCACGCAAGACCACCACGCATGACTCGGGCCCGACTCGAACATGCAACTTCCACTCACAAGTTCAAATGGTATGTGAAGCGGACGCGATATAGTTCGCCACCGAATCCGGATAATAATACCAACTCACTGGCAGGCGCTTGAACGTCACTGTATTGCTCAAATTTGGGGCTGCGTCTCATTCTGCGCGTCGGAGGACACGGGCTGCACTGGACCTTGGAGTTCCAGCCCGTTCATCAGAGGCGAGGCGTTGATCACAATGTAACTAATGGAAAAGAGTAATTATGTTCATGGGTGTGATGTACCAAAAAAGAAAAATGTGCTTTTCGTGTGAACGATTACACTGCGTTCCGCTAACACCTACTAGACTCAATTTGCCCAGCTGATCGGGGGTCTGTGTAGTCGACTACGCTGACCTAGAAACCCGAGCGTAGGTCGGCGTAGGTCGGCGTAGTCGACTAGACTAGGCTTTCATAGGTCAGTGTAGTCGACGACACAGACCCCCGATCAACTGGGCAAACTGAGTCTATGCCTTACCGGAACGTAGTGTATTCCAGCCGGATTTCGAACCAGCGATTTCCATGAGGAAGAGAGTGATTTTGCTACCATGAGCGGATGCGTTATCACTACGCCAATGTGTCTGCAGGGTGGAAGAACGATAACATGAGAGTTGAGAAAACAGAGCAGAATCGGACAGCAGGCTGAATGCACCGAATTCGTCGGAACACCAATAATAACACAGATCAGCTGCTCATCCTCCTGTATTGAAGTCTCACTAGCCGATGGTGACGCGTCCAAAAAAAAATCCCGGCCGGAATCCTTTTTTTTTTTTTTTTGCTCCCGGTGCTAGCCAAAATAAAGATCAGAGGACTCCTTACATGATTCAGACCCGGTTTGAACGGGCGACTTCCACGCGCTGGCAATTTCACTCTATGTAAAGCGGATGCGATATATTTCGTCACCGATTTGTTATGTACACCCCTTAGATGAATCTAACTGAACAAATGATAGAACAAAGTCATTGGGTCATGATCAGGTCATGTATTATATCTCTGCTTTCTTTCTTCGCCCTGCCAGGAACACTAAAAAAACTGCGCTGTGGACGACACCGACATGACTTGGGCCTGGTTCGAACAGGCAACCTTCACTTGGAATTGGTCAACGCAATGGATACGTGAAGTGGACGCGATACATTTCGCCACCAAGTCTGTATATAGTCTGAATTCATCCTAGATAGATTAAGGTCGGAATACATTTGCTGTACTTCTATCATCTAGTACAGCGCTATGTTGAAGAACTCGCTGGCCGATGGTGAGGGGCCAAAAAAAAAAAAAAAAAAAAAAAAAACGGCTTAAACACTTGGAAGGTGCGGATCCCGAAAGGCTAATGGAAAAAAGAGTAAGCAGGGGCCAAAAACTCAACCCAATATGCAATATGACTGGAGCCGGATTCGAACCAGCGATTTCCACACAAGTCCCTCGGTTTCCGAGTTTAGGTGGATGTGTTACCACTACACCACGTAGTCGATTCGCCTGGGTGGAAGACTGTGGACCAATTCGAAGGACATCATACGAGAAGCTTGACGACAGAGCAGACGCGGCATCGCGGCAAAGCCAAAAGGGAACGAAGAAAAATTCGCGGCTATTTCGCAGCACGAGCCGCATTCGAACCGGCGACTTCCACGGAAGATACTGTCGAGCATAAGCGGATGCGTTACCGCTACGTCATCGAGTCCATGTCTCCAATCACACCGCCGGTTCCTCAATTTAGTGGGCATTTAAGTTAGCCACGCTTCCTAAAGTATCTTAATACATATAAATATGCCATAAACTCAATTTTATATATGGGATTTATGGCTTGACCAAATCTAATCACTAATCTAATCTATCAGAATACAAATAAATGTCCACTAAACTCCAAGTATTGTTACACCTTTTGCCGACAGGGAAATGCAATACAAAAAATGGAGAAAAAATCATGTTGAAATGAGTTGCGAAACAAAAGATATAAGGGCAGTCTATATGCTTGTCTATACTTTAGATTTTGAATTGAGTTTAAAGGAAGATTAAATGAGATGTATAGATTCTCATTTAAAAGTGTATTAAACTGGATATTAAACTTCAGGTTTCGGACACCTTTAAACACATCTGCAGATGGTCTGCGGATGGTCTGCAGGTCATCGTCACCCTGCCATTTTTGCATTTTTTCAGTGGGTGACGATGATCTGCAGACCATCTGCAGACCATCTGCAGATGTGTTTAAAGGTGTCCGAAACCTGAAGTTTAATATCCAGTTTAATACACTTTTAAATGAGAATCTATACATCTCATTTAATCTTCCTTTAAACTCAATTCAAAATCTAAAGTATAGACAAGCATATAGACTGCCCTTATATCTTTTGTTTCGCAACTCATTTCAACATGATTTTTTCTCCATTTTTTGTATTGCATTTCCCTGTCGGCAAAAGGTGTAACAATACTTGGAGTTTAGTGGACATTTATTTGTATTCTGATAGATTAGATTAGTGATTAGATTTGGTCAAGCCATAAATCCCATATATAAAATTGAGTTTATGGCATATTTATATGTATTAAGATACTTTAGGAAGCGTGGCTAACTTAAATGCCCACTAAATTGAGGAACCGGCGGTGTGAATGAGACTATGGAGGAACGACATCAACCGGCACCGCGGCACAGCACAGCATGCTGCACCGCGCACGTGGCCGCAGCCAATGAGGGACGACTGCGTCATTTCCTCTTTCGTCGGAACTCGTCTAACTAACTTGTAACGGGGCGTGTCACCCATGCCTCAGAGGACAAGAAAAAGGGATGGGATTGAGACGTGAGCAACGACGGGAGGTGCTACTGGCGTTGCGAAGACAAGGAGAGTAATCTACGAGCTGCCGAATATATATCCTAGTATCCCCAAATATCACCTATATAGCCCAATAAACCGCTCTAGTTAGCGTCGGAGAACGGGTGGGTGTCCGACGCTAAGTAGGGGGTTTTGGGGGAGGATAGGGCGGGCGCGATAAAAGCGCGTTAAATAGCTTTTATTGCCGTAGCTAATAGCAAATAATTAACGGTAATTATCGCCATTGCTCGGGTAATGGCGCGCGCGGCGTGCGCCTGCCATCAACGCCCCATCGGTCCCATCAGAGATGGGCCGAGACGCTGCCAAGGCGCGGGATCGCGAGCGCCGCGATCAATCCCATCAACAGCGCCGCCGCGCCCCGCCCAAGTCGTCTGTTCCCGCCGCAAAAATGGTCTAAAATTCGCAAAAAAAAAAAGGGTACATTATACATAGTAATACAATGGAATACAGGGACATGAAAAACGTGGGCAAGGCAGATGTAAGCGAAAACAATGATAAAAAATTCTATGCATCCCCGGCCGCGGCGTTCTTATCGTGTGAGATGCGTACAATGTTCATGAAGGCGGCGGTCAGGCTGCCATCTTCATTGTCTTCGCTCTCCTCGTCTCCTTGGCCTTCGCCCTTCTGGTCGTCGCCGGCAGGCGGCGGCGCGCCTGCATCTGGGGAAACCGCGCGCATCACCGCGTCTCTTGCTACAGGAGTATGGCGCTCCCTGGAGACGCTGACGCCCGGGGAGATGCGAACCCGGGGAGATTGCTCAGCTCTGTGAGCCGCGACATGTGGAGGGGGGTAAACCGGGAGCGCTCCGTCCGCAGCAAAACCACTTGATGAGCGAGTGCCAGCTCCCCCTCTTCTCGCAGGCGCCGCCCCTCGCGGCTGAGGAACTCGTCTTCATCGCGTATGTACGTGACGAGGCGCCGAATCTCCACATTCAGCCGCTGAATTTCTTCGTCGGTGCGAAGAAGCTTGAAATGTTGATCCATGGCGGCGCAGCCAGCAGGTAGTGCCCATGGCTCCTGGTGAATATCTTCCCGCCCTTCTCGCAGGAGGTCGAAGTCAGAGAGGAAGGCATACTCGACCACCTGTTCCCAGTTGAGTGTCGGCATTTGCGGTGCCATAGCTTCAGCCGCAGTGTTATAGTTGGTGATTGCGGTCTTCACAGCTTTCGAGTGCGCCTGCAGCGCTTTGGCAATGTGGCTGCGCAACTTGTAGCCTATCAGGGGTATATCATCAGTGCTCGCCTGTCTCTGGCATGTGGCATTTCCCCAGCTCAAACACCTGCGAGACGATCAGGCCCTCAAGGTGATCGAGGGCGCGCTGGTATCGGCGCCTGCACACCATCGCTGCGGTTGCGACCCACTTGTCGTTCCCCTGCACCCAACGCGACTCCACCTCAAGCCGAAGCTCAAGGTTCTGCACTGCTGCTAGTGCCTTTGTCTGCACCTCGAGCGTATGTCGACGCTGCGTCTCGAGCCGCCGTGTCACCTGCACCGCCTGAGCGTAGCTTCCATCTGCTGCAGCAGGCATGAACGGCTGGCCCACCCCGAGCATCGCCGCAACGCGCTCCCTAGCAGACCCAAGTCACAGGATGGGAAGAGGAGGGGAAAGAAAGGTACGTACTCCACGTCTTGGAGATTTACCAGTTTCTGGTAATACTCCATCTCCAGCGTCTCCTGGAGCGGCTCACTCGACAATGTACGCAGGTGAGCCTTCTCCTTCTCCAGCCACTGCTCAAACTCTTGGCGGGATTCGACGGCGAGTTCCCGCATCGTGGCCTGCAGCGCTTCTTCCGTGGACTTGATGTTCAGCGCGCGACGGTACCTGTTGCACAGCAGGAGCGCTATGGGCAGGGATCGGTCAGAGTTAAGGGAAAGGGACACGACGTACACAAGTTTGGGTACGTGTCGAATGTGTCAGTGTGCTTCATATACGTTGTAATGGCTTACTGCCAATGGAAGCGGGTCGCGTAGCGGGTGGTGGAGGCAAGGGCATTCGACTTGGAAAAGAAGGACTCACAGCCCTCAAGAGGCTCCAAGCCGACACCTTTCACGTAGGTTGTGAGATTTCCCAGTTGGCAACGGCGGTTGTGGTCGTGACCGTGGAACGCGCCGACCAAAGACTTGAAACCCATGTCGGTGGTGAGCTTGCTAAGATGCGGGTGAGACTTAATCATCTTGCCATACTTGCAGCCTATGTCGTATCTGCTCCAATGCCCCCCTAAGACGCGAAGGAGGTGGGCGGTCACCCCGAATCCGTATTTCGAGCTAGGAAGCATGCGTCAGTACAGGCAGAATGGAGCGATGAAAATCCCTACAGCTCCCCGCTCTTGACCATATCCACCACTACGAGCACAAAGCCATGTCGGCAGAGCACGGGAAAGATTCCCGTCTCGTCGTACATCCCCCACGCACGTGCAGTCACGTCCTCCTTCATATTCTGCCAGCGCTCCGTGCACCCGCTACCTTCGTCATCGCCATGCACGTCAGGCATGAAACCTTTCATGAGGTCCCCCATACCGTCCTTTGCCCACTTGTCCACCTCCACCCGCGACAGGTAGTAGTCACCCGCCGCCACACGGTCATCTGACCGCTCCTTCGATGCACCCGGCACAGTCGTCCCGTCCGTGTTCACCTCTTCCCGCTCGCATAGCTCGAAGCGTGCGAGGGAGTTGTTCCCGTCCATGGTGCACATGAACGGGATCTCCAACGCAGCCTCCCCTTCCACCTTGTACATACACGTGGGGCAAGCGTTCTTCAGACGCCAATCCAGTGCGTCGCGCCCAAGTGCAACCTGCACGCGTCGGTCTACTGCTGTGAGGATGGCGAGGTGGACATCAAACACCACTGAGAATTGCCTGCCCAGCCACGCACGCGGGGCGACGCCGTGGATGTTGCACAGGGCTCGGACGAACGCCTGGATGCCGAGCCGGGGACAGCGGAGATGGGTGAGGCGGTAGACTTCGAGTGCACGGAGGGTGATGACGACGGTGGGGAAGTACGGGGCCACAGGAATCCAGCTGTGGCGTATGCATGCCAAGGCGATGTAGTGGTCGCCCTCGAGCAAGACGAGGTCTTGATGCGTTGCCGCTACAGAAAAAAAAATCAGTAAAGTGTTTAGGGACTCGAACAACAGCGATGGCGTACAGAACATATCCACTACAAGTACGTCTCGCCGGTCTTGGATCACTGCATCTTGTGGAAGCTCGTAGCATGCGCCCAGCCCCCCGTTCGCAATGGAAAGATTCCAGTCGAGATACGCATCCGTCATGCGCTCCATCTGCGCTGCGAACACGTTCACCTGCTTCTGTGTCCGGTCTCGCCTGGTACGCGTGTCGGTGTAGCGTCCAAAGAGTTGGCTGGGGATGAAAACATCAGCCAATTTGTTTCAAAAAAAAAAAAAAAAAGCCCACCCACCGGTGATTTGCACGCAGTCCTTCAAGAAGATTCTCGTCCGCGCGTTCCAGGTTCTCAGAGGCTAAGGCTTCGCCTGCATGGCTAATGGCCGCAGTAGTTCGGCCATGGAGTATGTCGTCCTTGTAACCACCGTTGCTGTTGTCGTTCGGGATATCATGTAGATGGTCGTATTCACGCCGTTCCTGTTGGGACAAGTCTGCGAGGGAAAAAAAAAATTAGTAGAATGAAAAAATCTCAAGCTTAACAACTCGCTCTTAAGGCGCTCGGCTTCCTTGTGCTCCTCATCTTGCTTCAGCAACAGGATTTGTGCCGGCGTGAGTGTTTTGCGTCTTTTGATTGGCCGGCGGCTGTCACCACCGCGCTCGGAGGCCCCCAGCTGGATTGTAGATGACGAAGAAGTGGTGCTGACACGATTCTTGGCGCAGTCAGCGAGACGGACGTGGGCC